GGGTGGGAGACTCAGGCGATGAGCTGGTGCTGCGGAGAGCCATCCAAGATGGTGGGATGTGGGACAGGAGGTGGGAGCTAGGGAGAGGTCACAACTAACCCAGAGATTCCCTGGGGCACTTGTGTAGCTTCTCCCCTCAGGTCCTGCCAATATGGGGGGCACATAGCTGGAAATACCAGGGAGAATGGAAGGTGGAGGTGGGGGAGGGTGTCTGCTCCGTCATGGATCCCAGCCCTCAAATACCAACCCTGGAACTCCTTGGGGCTGAAGGACCAAAACAGTTCTTTACATTCACAGCTTGCTGGGCAGAGAGAACCTGTCAGGCTCACCCATGTGCACTCACCTCTTCATTCCATCGTCCTCTTCCAGAAAAGTTTTGGGTTTTTATCTTTTTTTCTTTTTTTTTTTTTTAAGTTCATTACGCAAATGATACATGAATATATTCTGGGTCTAAATGTATCAAACAAACAAAAAAAAGTGAAAGTCATGGGAGACATCCCCCCACTCCCCACCCTGTACTCCCTGTTTTCAGCTGGGTGTGACTTCTGGACTTTGTCCTTGCATGCAAGGAGCTGAGTTGTGTCTCCATTGTATATACATGGCATATATGATTTCACAACGTGCTTTTCCCATCTGACAATGTGGCTTTCCATGTTGGTACATTTAGGATCATTTCATCTTTTTAACTGCTATAGAGTAGTCACAGTTTAACAATAAAAGCATTTCTGCCCTGAGGGACATTTAGGTAGTTTTCAATTCTTTCACTATTTCAAACAGCCACAGTGGATCCTGTTCTGTCCTCTGTGAGCACAAGTACACCTGCAGGATCAGGACTTGGAGGGAATTGCTGGGTGTGAAGACAGGCAGATGTCTGTGCTCCAGCCCCGTCCCCAGAAAGGACGCGCTCTTCTCAGACCTTCTGCAGCCTCCGAGTTCAGCCCTGGCGCTGTCCTCTCTCCCGCTGTCTGTGATATTGGGCAGCTGCTCCCTCGGAGAGTCCCGTTTCCCACCTCGACCATGAGTTCCCAAAGGGCCTCACCAAGGATGTCTCTGGGGACACCTCAGCACGTCATAGGAGACAGTTTGAGATTTAGTGGCTGCCAGCTGAGGCTGACACTGCCCTTCTCCCACCTTCGAGCTGCCCAAAGACCCGTCCTCAGCCTCTGTGAGGAGCAGCAATGAGGGACAGGAGGTCAAAGCCCTTTGTTCTGGATGGCAGTTCTGTGTGCCCCACCCCCACGCTCTCCACATGAGAGACTGGTGAGGGTCCAGTGGTTGGGGCATGGACACCCTTCCCCCGAGCCACCCTGAGCCTCACCTTGGCCTCCGCCCCAGCCCCACCGTCATCTGCAGCACCCCGTGACGGCGAACTCTCCTCCTCCAGCCCCCACCCCAGAGCTGCCATTGCCCCAGAGCTCTGCCCTCAGCCCGGCAGCAGAAGCGTCCCTTCCTTCACACCCCGGAGTCAGCGTTAGTCACTGCTCATCCTCATTTGCCTTTTTCGAAAAGCCTTAAGCGAGATGACTAGTCTCTCCTGGTGGAATGTCAGACGCTGCATCACATCGGCTGAGGAGATCTTTGAGAAGGGCCGGGGTGGGTTTGCCCCCCTCGGCCTCTATAAGGCCGGTGCTCCTCCCAGAGGTGTGCAGGGAGAGAAGGGAGGCGCCCGCAGCGCTCTCACCTCCCGCTTCGTGGAGGATACGCTGTGCTCTGCATTAGTGAACCCTGCAGAGATTCTAACACTCATTGGATAATAGGTCTCCCCACAAGCTTCTGAGCAGAATTACTGTCCCCGTTTTATAGGTGAGGAAACTGGGGTTTGGAGAGATGAATCACTAAGAGACCCATGGCTGGTCATGCGCTGGCCTGGGCAGAGCTGGGCATCAGCCTTTTCCGGGGACAATCGACTTGAGCGAGGTATGGTAAGAGTGCACTGTCATGCTGAACAGGCTTGAGGGACCCTTGGGGCAAGAGCCCTCCCGGCAGGGACCCGTCTATCAACCCTCAAGGGTAAATCTGGCCCTGCCACCACTATGGAAGTTCAGGGCACCTCAGTGTCCATAGGGCCCTGGGACAGCCTCTGAGCACCTTTTCTGTGTCCCCCTCCCACTAGTTGCCCCCTCCCCAGATTAGCTGACGTGTTCGGGCATTCAATGCTTTCAACCAATATGTATTGAGCTGCTGCCTCTGTTCTGGGTGCTAAGAACCAAGCAGGAACAGAACGAAACCAAGTCCCCGACCTCATCTGAGCGTGAGGAGACTGCCAATCAATGAACAAATATGTATTAATATGTCAGCGAGTGATGGCTGCCAAACGGAAAAGGGGACAAGGACAAGGGTTCAGAGAGTATGTGTATGTTTGGGGTGGGGGAACTGTGTTCATTGAGGTGGTCAAGAGAGGTGTCCCTGTGGAGGTCACATCTGAGCAAAAACCTCAGGGAAGCGAAGGAGAAAGCCAGACAGAGAGCAGGGGTGGGGCTGGGGCGCTCTGGGCAGCGGGAAGGACCAGGGCAAAGACCCTTATGCAGAGTGTGTGGGGGAGTGAGAAATAAGAAGCAGGCCAGTGAGCGAGCAAGGAGAAGACCAGAAGCAGATAAATTCAGGGGCGAAGATGGCAGGCGGAGGTCACACAGGGTCTGGGGGACCTGAAAGATTCAGGTTCACAATGGAGTTGTGAGCTCTCTCAAAAACTGTGGCAGAAATCCCTGGAAGCTGGACAAAAGTAACAGATTCTTTTTTCTCGGGAATCCTTTCCTTGTTATCCTGGGCCTTGGAAACAATATGGTCATTTCCTCCTCTCCTCCTCCTCCCTCTTACTACCCCCTCTCCAAACCTGCCCCTGACCTTGTCCCAGGCTGGCTTGCCTTCATGCAGCCAAGGCAGTGGCCGCCTCCTGGATGCAGGCAGAGGACAAGGCCAACGAAGGGACGGGAGGAAAGAGGCCCCCGGGAGAGGCAGGCGGCAGCACGAGGGACGACGTCACGGGGCCTCTGACTGCTATTCATTTCAGTCCCCGGGTGTCTCCATCAATAATCGTCTGCCAGTGACCAGGAGGGAGGGGGAGGAGGGGTGATCTGGGGTCTGGACAAGGGGAGGGATGACATGGAGTGGGAGAGAGGCTCCTTGGCAGCTCCTCCCCGCCTTGGGCAGGAGTTAGGGGTGGGCAAGGCAGAGCCGTCTCTAGGAGCTGAGAGTTCCTGTCTCCCGGGCTTCCCTCCCTGCCTCCTTCTGCCATGTTTCTGTCCTCTTCCCACATACATTTCCTTCCCACCTCCTCTCTGAAGCCAGGAGGGGAAGGGACACAGGACCAATTTTTACATTGGACAAGGAGGAAGAGGGTTTTTTCTGTGGGCACAAGCTAGATGGTGGAGGAGGCTGGAACTGCAGAGAACACTGGGGGTACTCTGTGCCTGGGCAACAAGAGACTAGAGCAAGCCCGGTGACAAGGGCTCATGTAGGCACCAGACTCGCACCTCCAGCCTGCAGGCCTGAGAGTAGGGCCTGGGCCATGGGGCCTGGCACAGAGCCTGGCACAGAGCAGGCACTCAGGAAATAAATAGCCATGAGTATGACCAAATCGCTGGCTGTGGGCAGTCAAGAAGGGAGCTTGGCTGGGGATGGGCTAGACCAATCAAGGAGGGCTGCCTGGAGTAGGTGGAACTTGACCAGATCCTTGAAAGATGCACGGGGAGAGTGAAAACGGGGAGAGAAGGCATAGCAGGTGAGGGGTCTGGGAGCAGAGGAGTGGGGGATGGAGGTGAATAAGGTTGTTGGGAGAGACTCGGATAAGACAGTGAGAGAGACAAGAGCAAGGGAGGATGGCCATCTTGCAGAGTGCCTTCTCTGGGGTCATGGGTGACTTTGGAGAGTCTGAGGTGACTGTTCCCCAGGGGACTCAAGCCTGCTTTGGCCAAAGTGGGCTTTTTGACTTTCAGGTGGTTTTGAGCCTTGCAGGCCTCCCAAGCCACACTCAGCCACAACAGCAGGCAGAGGAAGAGGCCCTTGACTCTGTGCAGTTTGAGACAACTCCCAGAAAGACGGTCCCATCACCATTCTTTTTGCCTTGTCACCATGCCTGAAGGGCCAGCCTGAAAAAGTCACCCCTTGAGTTAGCGTATTACTCTGTCAAATCCAGACTCCCTGGCGAGGAGGTAATGGTGTGCACTGTTGTTGTCACTCAGTGGGAGAACTGGACTGGACCTTGGAGATCACCTGCTGCACCTTCTTAGTTCACAGATGGGGAGACTGAGGCCAGACAGGGGGTGTGATTTGCCAGGGTGACCCAGGGAATCAGAGACAGAGCAAGGGTGAGTCTCAGGTCCTGTGCTGTGCCTCAGTGGGCTGGACATGCCCAAGAATCCCTCTGACTGGGAGGGGTGTGAAGACCGTCATTGCAAATATGACAGCAGGGACGAGGGCAGGGGACACAGGGGACACGTGACAGCCTCCTTCATTTTGTCAGGACAGCCTGGCCCGGGGTCCTTCTCATAGATGGAGCCTTTATTTGGAAGGCCTAGAGGGTCCCCCCATCATCCCCGATGGAGCAGCCACCAGCATTCCTAAGGGGCCAGAACAAAAGTTCATGGTCACTGTAGCTGCAGGTGCTGGAGATGAGGGGTGGGAGCTTCCCCTTCTGGGAGGTGTAGGGGCTGGGGCTGAAACAACACCAGGAGAGTGGGAGAGGGCAGAGCCTCCTGAGGCACCAGGGCATGGGGACAGGGAGAGACCCATGGGGAGAGGGGGTGTGGTAGGGAGAAGATGCAGGGTGGGGAGACTCGGCGGAGGGAGCGAAATAGAAAAGCAACGGGAGGGACGAGAGGCAGACAGACGGGAGCACGGAGAGGCAGGGAAGCTCCGAGTAGAGTGCAGAGGAGAGGAAGAGAGGTGGAAAGAGGGACGGAGAGCCGGGAGGCGGCGGGAGACTGAGGGCGGGGGGCAGGGCGCGGCGGCGGCCCGGGGGCGCCCCACTGACCCTTCTCGGCGCTTGCTTCCCTCCCCAGGCTGCGCTTTCCTCACCTACTGCGAGCGTGAGTCAGCGCTGAAGGCCCAGAGCGCGCTGCACGAGCAGAAGACGCTGCCCGGGGTAAGTGGCGCCCGCCGCGGCGCGAGCGACCGACGCGCCGACAGGGGGCGACTTCGGGAGGCCGGGCTGCGACGCGGCGGGCGGGGGACATGGCGGGGCCG